ATAACAATCATTGAACTTGGTATTCCTGTAAATAGTTTCATATGGTGTTTTTCACAAAATGAAAATTAGCTAAGGTTTCTGTAAATGTAATCCTATCAGTACTGACATGCTTTTCTTTGCTGTGTTAATAAGTAATAGCGCAGAGAATTCTGTTCCGGTTACTAATTATTTAATAAGGTTTTGCAAACTATGGCGTGTCTTTGCATTAGCAAAATGTGTATGTACTTATAGCTGCCTGCAAACCAATCTAATCAACGTACAGCTGTATTAACTGTACAAGCTGAAAATGACGCTATAAAGTCTACATACTATTTTTGAGCCACAGGACAAGTTTGTGAGCTACTTAAATCTTCTTGCAGCGGTGAATTAGGAGTTAAGGCTGATATAAACGATCCCACACAAAGGCCTTTGTATTTATTAACCCTTTGCATGGGTCATGTGCACACACAGCCCTTGTATTCTTTGCAGCCAAACTTTACTGACAAGGGAGCCCCATTCACTTGGCATGAATCCATAGCCCCTCTGCTTAACGTTTCCTTATGCTTTCAGATTGCTCCTGGCAAAATGAAACTCCAGGCTTAAGTACTTGGATGGAATTAGGCCCTGAGAATGGGGCCAAAGGATGGGAAAATCTAAATGTCTTTTCCCTTCTGCTGCATCAGCACAGAGATGGGTCTTCATAAAATCCCTGTAAGGAACTTGTATATTGTGTTTCATATTATAGGCACCATAAGGAGCCTGTTCTCTATTGTACAAGGAGCTTTTCTTCAGTGCTTTTGTTGATTTCCATCAAGATGTTTGTACTCCATAGGTAAAAAAAAAAAAATTATTGCAGCTACTTATGATTAGCACTTCTAAGCATAGCTGATATACTGGAGGATGAATTCAACTGGTTTGACAGAATATGAGGTACAGTGCCAAAAATCATGATTTTTAAAATCTGCAGTATTTCACTGTGAAATGGGCCATTCTTAAACATCAATGCATTTTACTGTATCTCTCTGAATTGTCAGCTTGATCTTCAAGGCAGTAATTTAGCAGGAAGGTTTATCTGGCACAGGTTTCCTCTCAAAGTCTATGTTGTTGTTTTGGGTGTTTTTTTCTTGTTTTTGAAATTTCTGGACTGGACCTCTTTGAATTTAAGTTTAAAATATACAAGTTTTCTTGGATAAGGTTTTTAGAGCATTTTGAAGCCTTTATCTTAGCCTGTAGCAGCAGCAACAGAGCATTGGTTGGTGGTGAGTAGTTTTTGTGTCTGATAAAAGAATCGTTCAGAACTTCTCCAAAAATCTCTGAACCCACATGAGCAGCTACAGTTCTGCCAGTGGCTGACAACAAATTTCAGTCTTTGAAAGGCTAGATGGAATCGAAAATGAAAATTTGGGGCTAAAATTCTCTGACACATCTCCCTAGTCCAATTCCCCATGGAAGCAGGAAGCCTTGAGAGCTGCCTTTGACAAAAAGTGAATCATGCTGCATTAGCCCTTATGAAAAATCTGTACATCATCACTGCACTTTTAAATGAATAGGAATGCAGTGATGCACCAGTCAGCTTAATGGATATTTAGTATGTATGATTTAAAAGCATGAGATTGAAAGTGCTCTAGGTGTCCCTGCACAAACAGGGGAGTAGAACTAGGTGATCTCTAGAGGTCCCTTGCAATCTCAACCATCCTGTGATTCTGTGTGGTAAGTTCCCCACTGCCCTCCCCATCGTCTCGAGAAGGAGAAAAAAAAAAAAAAAAAAAAAAAGAGAGAGAGAGGAAAAAAAAAACGAAAAAAGATAAAGGGTCCAGACCTCCTTTTAATAGGGGTCACTTTTCTGATTCATTTCAATTTGACTCTGTAAATGAGCAAGAAGTATTTTCTCAACTGAAGGGCAGCACAGGCAGAAGGAACTAGGAGCTGCTTGGGTTGGCACAACAACAACAAAAGAAGATGTAAAAGATGTTCCCAAATGCAATTCCTTGCTAATCTGCTTCTCTAGCAGGAATGATCTGTTTTGCAGCATTGATTTCAGTTGCCAGAGAAATGCGGTCTCTTTGAAATAACACAAGTAATTTTATTGTAGATAGCTAAAAAGACCGTTTATCAGATGAAGGCAAAGGTCTTATCTGAATGTTACTCAGCAATGGTATGGGTGGAAGAAGAGGTATTTTGTATTTTGCATTACACTTAGTTTAGAAATATGAAGATGTTTACACCACTTCAGCTCTTAGCATTCCTTGTGCTGAGAGCGCATGGAGAACAAGAACTATCCAAGCTTTTGCACAGAGCAGCTCTGGGGTGGCCCTGCGGCTCCGTCGCTGCACTGGGGCTGCCCCATGGCTCGGTTGGCAGCCACAAACAGTTGTGCCCACGAGTCTCCTCAGCAGGACGCTGTCCTGCCTCGGCATGTGCCGTCCACGGCTGCACTAGCTGCAACAGTGGGAATAACCAGGCGCCGTGATTCATCCTGAGGTCTATAAACTGCTTTATTAGGCCTGTTAAGCACGCTGTCGTTAGGCAACGGTAAATAACGCTCTGGAGGCTTCGCCTTAGTTTTTAGGGTGTGAACCTACAGAGGCAGTCGGGAACCGTGGGCTTTCCTGGGCTGCTGCCTCTCGTGCTTTTTATCTTCAGTAGCAATCTGCCTTCAGCACAGACTGTGCAAGGACTGCTTCCACTGACACGCACTCCTTGCTAGGCAGAGGTACAAGGTTGGGCTGAGCACTTAGGGAAGAATTCCTCCAGTGGTGGAGTGCAGACGGAAGCAGAGAAGAGCTCAGAGGCATTTGGTTTGGTTGATGATGACTGCAACAAGCTGACTGTTGGAATCGACTGCTCTCTTGCCTTCAAAGTGTAATTTCTGCTTTATTTACCAAACAATAAACCACGAGAATGAAAATAACACGCTCTGTGACTTGGAGCTGTTTTTATTTGGGCCTGCCAAGGTGGGGCCGTTGTGCTTCTGGAAATAACCAATACACTTGGCCGGAGCTGCGCTCCTTCTCGAGGCATTTCTGCAAACCAACCTTTGCGGATCCTGCAGGTTTACCCGTCAGGAGACAAGGCAGAGGAAGATCTCCTGTTTTTCTTTCAATTCATGAATTGGCCGCTGTTTATTAAAGAAGTCTAAGTCACTGAGGACTTCAGGTACAAGCTTCACACATTTTTTAACCTGCTTGTTTGACACAAAAGAGTAACCCAGACACTGAAAAGTATATTGCTTCAAGTTGAAGAAGGCTTGACCTAATAGTTACAGAATCTCTTAAAGGCAGAAGGGAGAGTATGATTGTTTGAAACATGAGTGAAGCTCATTTGCCTGAAAATGGTCATGTTTCTCCCTTAATGACACTACGTTTTCCTTCAGCTCAGGGCTACGTGAAACATCAGCTTGAAGATACTCAAGATACACGCACAAAGCCCAAAGCATGAGGCAAATTACACATCAACACCATCCTTGCAAGAAACATGATGTATATAAAAAAAAAAGATATTTCTCTTCAAAGGAAGCACCACCAAGCAGGATCAAGCCGTGTGATATAAAGCACATGTGCTTTATCAAAAGCTGTGTCGCTTGTCTGTGATACAATGAAGCTCAGAGGAAAACAGCTTGGCGCTGCGCTAATAGGGATGCACCCGGAGCATCCCTCAGCTCCGAGGAGCTGCGATTCCCTCAGCGCTGACTGATTCGGGGGCTGTTTCTCCTCACGGACCCACTCTGCTGCCTGCACCTAGGCCGCGAAGCCCAGGGCACCTTGGTGGGCCCGGGGTGACCGGAGCCCCCTGTGCTCGCCCAGCTGCCTCCCTGCGTTGAACGGGTAGCAATAATGATAATAATAATGATAAACGAGGGCAGCGGGGTCGCCAACAGGTGCTGCGGGCGCCCGTGTGCCGGCACCTCGCCCGGCCCCGCGGTGCGGAGGGAACGAGGCGGCCGCGGGGGACGAGCAATGGCCCGGGCCCGCGGCGGCGAGGCCC